GCTCATGTGACCCACAGCCTTGGCCGCCTCCAGGATTGCTCTCCGGTACATCCCTTTTTTCTTGCGGTTGAAGCGGGACCTGAAGAGCTCTCTGAAGGGCGATAGTTTGGCAACAGAGAGCTGCGAGGTGGTGGGTGAACCGAACCACGCCACCTTTGCCTGGGGCCACTGCGCCTCGCAACTGGCCGTCTCCTGTTTGCGGGTGCCGCTGATGCTGAGGACGCGTGCTGGCCACCAAGGGAAGCCATGGATCTTCCCCCACACGATGTCGCCCACTGCCACAGCGTGACCCTCCTCCGTTACACACTTTGTCATGCTGCGCGTGTGCAGCCGCACCGTAAGTGGCGGCACTGTCTTGCAGTCCTCCCGTGAAGGTACAGAAGATGAGGTCACAGAGAGGTCTTCACCGGGGGCCAGATCACACAGCTCTGGTGAGGTGCCATCAGAGCTGAAGGACTTGGACTCATCTAGACTGTCGCTGCTGCAGACTGACAGGCTAGAAGAATCCGCTTTACGCTTACGGAAATTGATGAGAAGGGTGAGGTCGCTGTGGCCGCGGTCGGCCTCCTCCCCAGAACTCCCTGACCACAACTCCAGAGAGTTCTTGCCTTCCCCTGAGTCATCCGAATGGGGGAGGCAGGGCCCAGGAACCCTGGGGCTTCGTCTCCTAGTGCCCTCTACAAGTTCTGCCTCATACTCGACCACACTCTCCTCACCCTCCCTCTGAGGGGGTCTCAAGCGGATCTTTGGAGATGGCAAGTCCTGACCCACAGTTGTGAAAGGCCTGGTTAGTTTGAGTTTGGGAATGGACACAGTGAGGCCAGACCGTGTGGCATCTAGAATGTGCCGTTGTTCCTTGGTGGGATCAGAGGGCGCCTTGCCATTCTCTGCCACACCATTCTGCACCAGCTGTTTGGGGCAAAATGGTTTGACTGAACCGTGGACGCGTGAGGGGATCTTCATGACCTCCCCCTTGCCCTGTGGAGTGCTGTAGGAGATCTTTATGACAGGACTGTGGGGGATAATCACGTCACCTCCGGGGAACTTCTCCCCATCAGCTTCCCCCCTTTTGTCCTTCCTAAGGCGCTTGCTGTCAAGGCTGGTGCCATTTTCCCGCCTTTTAGTGTCCTTGGTAGCAACTACATCCTCTTTTCTCGACAGCTTAGAGGGGATGTCCTTGTCATCACCGTCATCATCGCTCTGTAGTGCATTCTCTTTTCTAGATGTCTTGGTGTTGCTCATGCCATCTTTGCTGTCTTCATCACTGTTCAATGTGTTCTTGCATTTTTCACATAGTACCTGCCGTGGCCGCAGACGGATAGTACTCATGGTCATACGGCCAGGCTCTCGCGTCCGTCTCTTCTTTCTTTTGATTGGTCGCGGAGGGGGCTGAGGTACCCATTGGCTGTAGCTGTGACGCACCCATAAGGGCTGAGGGAAGGGGGCTCCTTCAAAATAAGGAGGGTAAGGAGTCTGTCCAGCTGGCACTGGTGTGGGTATGGGACAGGGGAGAGGTGCAGTAGGTATGCTGCTTTCAGGGAGAGTGTTTTCATCCTTTGGTTTGTGTGAAGCCTGGCTGGGAGAATTGGAAACCGGCTCCTCACTCAGAACTTCTGGGAAATCACAAGTTGGTTTAGATATCGGGCAGTCCCCAGGTTTTTCTGTGAAATCTGGTAGACAGAAGAGCCCAGTCCTAGGATGAAAAAGAAAAAAAAAACACAAAACAATAAATTAATAACTGTACGTCTCGTTCAGCTTTGTTAGCGTGCTACACTGAAGTTCATACATGCCAATACAAACACAAGCAATTCTTAAATTTTTAAGTTGAGCAATTTCCTCCACACGAATGATACTATAATGCCGTACTTGTATTTCAGCATGTTAGATAACTAGGCCGGTGGGAGAGCACAAATCAAACACCTCGCTGTTTCAATTAGGCCAAATGAGAAATGAATACTCAAAGCTGTTCAAAGCCTTTCCTACAAGTGGCCTACCATAGGCTGCAAGGAGGGAAACCTATTTTAGCATTTTATTTTACTTTAACTGGACACACTGACGCCACTCTCCCTGTCACCTGTATGCTGAAAATTCTTTTCGTGTGGGGGTTGGGGTCCGCTGTACAAGCAGCCAGACATCCTGCTGCCTTAGGCCACAAAAATGGAGCAATAGTATCACTGACTCTCTTTGAGTGATTTTACATGTTCTTTTTTCATACTCTGGGACCAGCAAACATGTCCAAAGAAGGCCCAACTGCCAAGGAGTCTTTGAGAGGTGGCTGGCAGGCAACAGTAACATGGCTGTGCTGCTTTAGTCAGGAGACAGCAGACAAAGAGACTACAGGATGCCCAGGAACCCCCCCCCCCCTCCCCAACATCTGACTGAACAAAAAACAATCCCATGAATCACTCGGGATTCAGAGAGGTAGGGTAGGAGCCAGGAGATTTCAGTTTGTTTTTGCATCCGTGTCTACCCAGGGCTTATGTGTGGTGAGATTATTAATTAGTGCACATTTGGGGAGCTTGTTTTCCTCCCCATGAGAAGTAACTGGCAGGCACCTTCAAATAATAGTCTCTTGGTGAGGTTTGTTCCTCTCACCTTTTTTTATAAGTGTCGCTAAAGCAGCTGAATATTAGCCTTCACGGTGATTGACACGGCACAAACAGTTCAGCCTGTGACAAGAACACACAGTGCTAGTTAGGCACAGCACAAGGACGCAGCATATGACCAGCAATGATTCACTGCACTGTTGCCATTTCATGTTGTGTACAGTGTAACTAGATGTGGAGATCTGCCTGTATGATAGGCCTAAAAAACCTGTGAGACAATGACAGGAACTGTATTTCCATGAGCTGAAAAGGAAGAATAAGTCAAATTTTGTCAGTGACAAGGCCTGAAATATAGACCTATTTTAAGTTATTCCAAGGCCTGTCTTTTCCCATTTGGGTGGGTTATTTTCAGGACAGTATGAGCTCTCACATGAAAAACCATCTAAGCATACTAAGGGGCAAAGCTGGTCAGATTCTGATTCTGCTAGTCTATAAATAGTCTAAAGCCACTGGCTTTTAAGGTGTACAACACTAAGAGCAACACAAGGCTTATACATGTGACACACACTAAGAGGGGAAGATAAGACATGACACTGATATGTGAAATTACTCTCATATGGTTTCTCTCATTTGAACAGGATTGTTTTCCTGAAAGAAGAAAGAACCTTTTCCTACCTAACATAGAGACTAACATGGTCACTGGATGTCATCAGAAAGAGGTTTTCAGTAAAACCATAACAGTTGTGATTCATCAAATCCCACATGTATCTTTATTGTCATTTTCTATTGTTTCTGTAGATTAAAAGTCACTGGTAATCAAGGTAATCAAGCCATTTCTCTAAACAGCAACTGTAATTGAGATTATTTTAATTAAAATATCATTTCAGATTTTAGCACACAATGCACTACCATCAGCATGTATACATATCAAAATATAACTGATTTACAGAATGATGTTCAGCCAAGGCCTACCCTTCTTTCTGAATACGTTTTAGCTGCTCTGTATTTGATTAGGCTAACAATAAGCTAGAGATGAACCCAGTGACATTAGCTATTGTTCAAAAGAAGTCATTCACAATCTCTGTAGACAGGGCCTCTATCTTGACATACAGTTTCTCACCACAGTAAAATAACATACTTTATCACCTTATTATGGGTTAAAATGATACCAGTTTGCCATTAGCCAGCAAGCTAGCAGATAGCTACCTTGTCACCTATGAGTCTTTTGTATGGAGGCCCAGTTAGCTAACATCTAGCTAAGCAGCTAGCTTTGACTTGTTAGCATCAAAGGTAGATTAGCCGTTAGCAGAGTTTAGCAAATTAATTTCAGAGATAAATTTATAAAGGAAATGAAAGAAATACGACTCACTTTTTGTTGCAATCAAGTAATATCCCCGTGTAGCTCCTTTCTCGATAGGTCAGCGTCACCACCAGTGTATCGTTAACTATTTGATCGATAGTGACAGGTACCCGAGAGCCGGCCCGCAGCTCCTCGGCCACAGCCTCCATGTTTCCCGGGGTGAAGTGTCCGGCTCGGCGGTGCTCGATCCCGGCCAAGGGAGCCACGGTCGCGTCGGCCAAAGATCCGTCTCCCTTTCGCTATTGGAGCAGGAGGCTACACCAGGGCATAAAATGACGCCATCACCCCCACCAAGTCAATTACAACAGTACTGCTACCGCTGACATCACGCTCTCTGTGCTAGAGGAGCAAAAAATCCTCCAAGACAAGGCCTACCCTTTCTCTGTCTCACTTTGACTTGTTTGATGCCGTTCATTACTACGGACTTTTATCTCGGGAATACCTCAGTTTTCCCAGCGATAGCCTAATGGCGTTTTGTTCTACACGTACACTATGATTACACTGGAAAATGGATAAAATATCGATGCATTTTCTATGATGTGGCGAACGATACGGCCGTAAATATTTTTACTAAAGTGAGATAATTATGACCTGTATTTAACAAATCATCATAAGATGTACAGCTACAATTATTTATACTTTCACAGGAGTATTGAATATACAATATATTAAAATTGCCTTTGAATTCTTCAGTTTGGCACTATACTAACATTTGTCAAACCATTTCTCTTTCATTTCCCTTAGTGATTCTTATATTTTAAGCTTTAATTTACAATGTGAGGTTGTGATTCAGTTTTTATAACTGGCACAGGGAATATTATGCTTATGCAATTGTGTCTTGTGAGCCAATGTAACATTTAATGACTGAATAGCTTCACTTAAAACAGTGAATAAGCAACAGTTCCCTTTTTATTTTGTACATATTTGAGGTATTAAATGTTAATAAGATGAAGTAAATGCCAAACATGACTAGTTTGTATATTAGGGAGAGTGTCTTGCAGAATTTAAAGATGAAGACAACAAGAATCATACTATGGTAAATTTCAAAACACTCACTCACTCACTCACTCTCTCAACAGCCTTGTGATCTATATTTTAATATATGAGCATTACAATGGTCATTCATAAAAGGATTCATCCTTACAGTTACTTTTGAGTATGAAATCAATAACATCAAACTCAAACAGAAGGGATATATAATCCCTGTCACTTGTCAAGGAAACTCGGCCAGGTGTCTCCAGTGAAGATAGTAAAGCAATTTTCAGGATCTCTTCCTCGGTTTCTCTTCCTCTCTAGAAGCCGCTTCTGTAACTTCCGCATCTGTCATGAAAAACAAGAATCAAAACAACAAAAACAAATTCAGATCAATATTGTAGGAGTTCAATATGGATCAGATGTGTGAATAATGAGGTATAGGTTTGACCTCTTCCACATCTTGTTCTGCCGCTGCCATCTGCTCGCTGGTTGTGCCCCTGGGATTCCTGCGTCTCTCCTGCATCTTCTCAACCTGGGCACGGATCTGCCGCTCTAGCTCACGGGCCGATCTGGAAAATTTCAAACCAAAAGACTGAATATTCAGATCATAGTCTTTATGGATGGTAGACATCTGATTAAAAATGCAAGCTTGTGACTAATAGTTTTCTCCTCAATTAAGATTTATTATATCAATGAAAACAGAAAAGACTAAGGTGGTCTATCTAATCTGGTTTATCTGTTCTATCAAAGGCATAATATTGTTTAAGAAGAACAAAGGAAACTGCTGATGTTCTATGATGGGTGTATGTTTCTCTTTCTCCACTAGGTGTCTCTAGCTCTCTGCCTGCATCTGCATGGCTCACAATTGCAAACCATGCAAAATGTCATTTGATGAATACTTTTAAACATTTGAGTATGTGCAGTACAATTTTCATTAATTAAATTGATGAGATTATATAAGTATAAACCATTATACTCCACTGTGATAAGAGTACCCTTCAAAAATAAGGAGATGGAGATAAAAATTCAGTGACAAAGCTAACAGGACAAACTAAACAAACATCCCAGGGCAATTCTCATTCTAGTACTGGTTTAGGTTTGAGGATGTTGTGGATGTTTTTCTATGTTTTTGGTCTGTAGTAGACAGTATTAGTATTTTGGCCATCCAGAGTTCCCATGTACCTGGTCTCCTCACACTCTTTGATGGACATGGTGGACATCTGCCTCTGCAGAGTATCACTGCTTTCCTCCACATCAGGTTCTAAATCTGCCTCTGCTTCCTATAACAGACAGTGGAGTTGTTTATTATCATGTACAACAACATTTTGTTCTTGAGTGCAGAGCTTGTGTTCATATAGGATGACACAACTGTTGTGACACATCCTACAAACACAGCCTATAGCCACAGCTGCAATAAAACAACATCCTTGTGTTAAATTACCCAAATGGGCTTGTTTTTTATTATATTTTTCAGTGAATACTTACACTGATGTTGCTGGTTGAATGCATTGAAAAATTATGAGATATTCTTCAGCTACATGCATAGAAATGTAGCTGACAGTCAAATTACTGAAAACCATCCCTCTGCATATGTCTACAGTGTGTGCATGCCTGCACGTATGTGTTGCTGCTGTGTTATCACTGGTGCAACATGCTCCACCACAGGCACTGCATCTGTTGCTGCCTTCAACAGCACCAACATCATCATTAAGGATCGCTGACACTGATTCTTGTTATGATACTACCTGAAAATCCATTCAAGAACATTAAAGGTGATTTATCTTGTAGTGATTTCATATCTGTTGTTATAGTCCTCTAGCCAGTGTGACAGAGGTGATACTCTACTGCCTCCTTGTGGTTGGCATGTTGGCAGGTGGACATTTAGGTGATCTATTCCACACATACCTCTGATTTTTTTTGTCTTTCATTCTTCTTCTGCTTGCGCGTTGACATTTTCTTCTCCTGTGTGATCTTGGCTTGTGTGCGCCAGTTCCGAAGAACCTCTTGGCTTCTAAAGGAGACCAAGATCCAAGATAACAATGCACTGTAATAGATTTATGTTAAGGGCAATGGCTCTCAGACAAATGTTTCTAAATGGTTGCAAAAAGGTCTGTAAACATTGACTGTTCCCCTGTTTTTATATAGTGGACATAATATTGATCCCTTACTGTTGGTCACTTGGACCAACGCCAGTTAGATACAGTGTAGCTCTGCTCTATGAAATAACATTCTGCCTTACATGTGGTATTACCAGTCCTAAATAATCTGTAGTTCATCCATTCAATGGTGAAAATGTAGTAGGACAGAAACAGGGTACTTACAATACTATACTGAACTGAAAGCCTTAAGGCAGAAATCAGCTTACTTTCTCCTCTGCTCGAGAATAGCCTGTTTCTCTTTCAGCTCTTTCATTGCAGCCTGTTTCCTCTCTTCTGGCCTCTTCCAGTCTTGAGTGTCAAACAGGCGAAGCTCAGGAATTATACCGGCCTTGGTAGTTGCCTTTTTTCTGACAAATAAATTGAAACAAAATACTTTATTTTATTGCTCTCCTGAACTCTGAGTCCCAGTGGAGATTTTTATCACTTGGTCTCCTCTGTGGAGAAAGTCATTAAAAAGTGTTATTCTTTTCCAAGGCACCATGCCATGTACTTTGCCCTCCACCACAACTCTAGACCTCAGCACTTAAGTTTTCTACTGAAACAAAACAAATTCACCTCCCCTGTCCCTGTCCCACTATTTGATAGCAAATAACACTTTTACTGCATTAGATATCTGAACAGGTGCAAATGAATTATACCTAACAGATATTTGCTGCCTGGATCCATTGTGCAAAAACAATGGTAGGAGCAATTAGATAACAAGATTGTTATAATTTTTTAAATGTGCAACTTGACATTTGGGGAAATACGCTTATTCACTTTCTGGCAGAGAGTGAAATTAGAAGAGTAATAGTTCTGCTCTCAACCCTAACCCTAACCCTCCCCAACAACAAAGATGAAGCTAATTAATAACAATTTATATCTTGCTTGTTCAAATAGTTTAAAAACTGCAATGTAAAAACATCTGCCATCAGGGGGTTCTGTGTGAATATATCCCAGTTATCTGGAACCCCATGGAGACTTGACTAACTTACTGGTTCCAACTAAGAAACAGTCTGGCACATAAACCCCCATAAAATGGTGACATTTTGTTTTTACACTTTTGTATGTGTATAGTTAAAAATATGCTTGTATGTATATAATTAATTTAATCATTAATGAGGTTAGAGGTGTCGGCAGGCAGATTTTGCAACCATGTTTCCCCGTTTCCAGTCTTTATGCTGTTCTAAAATTCTCCTGGCTTAGACTTTATATTGTACAGAGGTAATAGTGGATCAATCTTCTCGTCAAACTCTTTTATAGAAAGCAAATAAACACGTATCTCAAAATGTCAAACAATTTAACATTAAGAATTTTCACTTCAAAAATCTCTTATTCCTTTCATCCTAATACCTTTACTTTACTTACCTTTTGATAATAGGATGAAGACATGACTTCAGGTTTCTATCACCCTGTGCTACTGAACCCAGCTCAGCACTGTCCAGTAGGATCATCTTTTGTTTCAGCTCCTTAAACCTCTGCAGCTCATCCTCATCCACTGACTCATCCTGCTCCTCCACACTGGACCCCATCAGCTCTGACAGCTGGAGCTTCTCCACCACTGGCAACTCTACCAATGAAAAAACCATGACAGATACAAGTGTGATGTGGGGGCAGCCAACACCAGCCATAACACTGCAGTCTACAGCTACAGTCGCTATAGTGGAAGTACAGATAACTAGTTGATTACCAAGACTTCTTTCCCAATTATGTAGGCAAAGATTTATCAGCTTTTTATGAGCAAATTCACACAACCAATAATAGCAGGTAAAACATTCCTCACTAAACATCTACTGTATGTGGAAGGCAGAGCAGAATAAGAAGTTTTGAGTGAATTAAACAATAAATGGCTGAATGTAACTTTTACCCACATGTATTATAATTAGACTCAAACAGACTAAATATTCAGCGTTATCACAGCTGGAAAAGGTTGATGACAATGCTGTATGTAAATGAATGGTGTATATTCAAATTTGCTAAACTTATACTCTGAGCCAATTAAAGGAAAGGAGATTCCCCCCCATGGAGACCAGAGGCCTGTCTTTGTTAATAACTTTTGGGCAGGGAGATTAATCCTTTGATCGAGGGGTTTGGCTCTGCTCATTGTGCAGCAGCAGACTCTCCTGTGGAGGGCTGTCTTGGGCTTCTCACAGTGATTATCTCTAGACAGTGCTTAGTGACAGAAAGCTCCTGTTTAGAGCCCACAGGTTATTGATCATTTTCATCTGGCTAAAAATATTGCAGAGCTGGAACAGGGGTGTCAAAAAAAAAGAAAAGAAGAATCAGCTGCGTGGCACGCGCCGTCTCCAAGGGAACAGGAGTCACACCAGTGAAGCGGTACCAGGGCTAGGAGCTATTTTTGTGGCCAGCCGTCCTATCTTTGTCAAAAAGAGCAGATGGCTAGGATGCATGTGCATACTGAACACCTTGCTGCTGCCCTGTTCAAAGTTAAGGTGCCTTTGATTCACCTGCAGGGGCCTTCCTCATGCTAACTTGTCGCTTCACCATGGCACTCCTCAGGTACTGGAGGATGCCCTGGATACCCTGGTGCACAATGTCTTGCGGAGGGAAAGTGATAGGGCAGTTCCTCAGGTTCAGGCCTCTCAGGGTAATCACATTTCCTGGAAAAAGGTAAATAATTAATCCTTTATAATTATGTTTACAGCATACACTTTGGCATTCAGCTGACACTCTTATCCAGATTATTTTGCAATGAATGCATCAGTAGATGAAGCTCACTTGGTGTACATACCTCCATTACCTTCATTACTTTAATGCAAGCAACAGTGCAGTAATAAGCTTCAGTGATAACAACTAAGGAAAGCAAAACATTTTAAACCATATTGTATGTCTTTTCTATTAGTAACTACTAGTTATTCATCACACGTAATCTTGATTTTAATTTGCTGCCAGTCAGGCTTATTGAAACTGATGAAACAACTTGTCATTTCAAAGAGCAGAGATACTGCTCACTGGTAGAGGTGACTGAACACAACTCACCCAACTCTGGTGGAAGTTCTGAGATAGGATTCCCTTCTAGTAGTAATGTTTTCAGAGACCTAAATGAACCAAATAATAGCTCATTAGATGATTGCAAGGGCAATGCCTTGATCAAGACGCATGTTTAATCCTAAAATGAACTGGGGGAAATTGTACAAGATATGCTTTAGTCAAAGAAACCCAGATAAAATAATAATGTTAAGCTCCTTTGCCACAATTTGGAATCATATATTTATTTTTCAGAGCATATGCTACTTAACAGAAACACTCTAAAATAGAAATATTCTGATCAAAAAATGTTCTGAAATGTGACAAATAAGCATACCGTACTCCCATAGTGGCCTAGGGGTTTGGAATTAAACAACATATATTTCAAAGAGCAATTGCATAAGTAGCCTACCTGTGCAAGCCAATTTCAGCAGGGAGCGACACAATTTGGTTATTTCTGAGGTCCAGCCACTGCAGGCTGGGCAGGTTGATGAACAATGAACCTGTGATACTGGATATCTGGTTGCCTTCAAGATATAAATACTGAAGATGACACAATGAGCAGTTAGAATTAATAGATAATGCAGAAAAATAAATTAAACATAGATATTATAATGCTGGCCTAATGTTTTAGTGGAAGGATTTTTTGCTTGAAAACTACTGCAGCACACAGTATGCAGCTGGGTGTGTAGAGGTTGACAAATGCACAATAAAGTTGAAACTGACCTTTAGTGTGTTACTTTTCAAAATACTTTGCGAAACATGTTTTAGCTTAGTTCTGCTCAGACACAATGTCTCTGTTGAATAGGGTTCACCAAGCTCCTGTGGCTCAGCATCCTCAGGCAGAAAGTGGGGGGTCTGTGGTTTGACAACACTATTCCCAAAGACATAGCTTCGCTGCAGGTCTGGGATCTCCTCATTCTCCTCAGGGGAAGACATTGTAGAAGTGATGCAGAGATGTTGTCCAGGGTGTTCAGGAGTCTTTTTTCTTTGGCATTTCCCTCCCTGTGTTTGAAAACAAGAAAGTCTGTGTAAATGTCAAATTCAATGGACAGGTTTCGTTTAAACTGCAGAATGCTTTTACCTGAGGTTTTAGCTTGCCTAGAGGCAGATGTTAGCTATTCACTATCTGCTGCTATCTATCATTAGCTAACATTAGCAAACAGTTATTTTACTACTGACCGCCTTTTAACATTAACCACCGCCGTATTATCTTACCTCTTATTTGAGTGAACATATGCGTAAACTCGTGAACCACACTCAGCGTCCTCTCAAAAGAAACAACTCATAAAAAAAAGAAGAAAAAAAAAAGAAATAGGAAAATGTTATGCTAAGTTTTAGCTACCGTCCCAAGAGTTTGACGGCGTAACCATAGCAACGCGCTCAACACTGACTACGGCAACTGTCCACGTGCAAACAGGGCGAACTGCATTCATATTATATCAACCAGACTTTCTTGAATTAAATTTGCAAAACGTATCAATACTTTGTAAAGGTGAACAGGTCAATACCAAGGCTACAAGGAACAACATTATAGATGTCATACTTTATAATGTGCAGTAGTGTAACAGGGCAGCAACAGGAGTAAATAATTTTGGTGTGCAGATTGAAGACAAAGTGTTAAATCCTTTTTCCCCCTCAGTGATCCGGCACCACCCATCCATCTTCTAATGAGATTGTGGAACAATTCACTGAGGTTCATTTAGGCTGGGGGATAGTAGCAGTTCTCTGCTGGTAACAAGAGATGACAACACTCCCGTTTGTACTGAGCTATCCTGGCTTCACCTACAGAGGCTGGTCCTTATATGTTGATATGCATGACAGTGTGTGATACAGAGCTACGTCGACTACAGTCACTGGCCAGCAACTGTCACACTACTCTCACAAGTGTCAAGTTAGTCAGAACACCGATGGGGAGCTTCCGGTTCTTACTTTCAATATAAAAGTCTCCTGAGCAAATGGTTACAGTAAAAACACAAAAACAACGATTACACTGCACTAGAATGATTTTTTGAAGGATATAAATCAAAACTTTTTTTTTTCTGTTCAACTACAGGGCACTTACATGTTATGTAGGCTAGATGCATGCCATAGTAGAAAACGTGTTATTTTTATATAGGCTACAGAGTATGTGACTGAAATCATACTCATTCCCTTAAACATATATGTAAATGTTTATATATCAAGACTGCATTTAATCACTGTTAAATCAATTTTGCACGTTATATTGCTTATGATTTATAATATTAATTTGTAATCTAAATTGACTGAAACTGAGACTATTAACAGCTTTAACGTAAATAATTTAATCAATTTAATTGATCTATCTATTAATCGAAGTTCACGTAGCCTACTGTTTGCATTCTAAATTCTTAAATTGATCTAGATGATGCCACCACCAGTGGCTGCTGATTTGAGGTGACTTCAGTGATTTCAGTATAATAGCTTGTGTCTACGCTTTTATTTTCAATGCCAAATAGCTTGACTTCCTGTTTCGTTTTAGCTAACTATGTAAAAGTCGACGTAGCTTTTACTCACAGCCCCGACAAACATAAGTCTGTCGGTTTGTGCTGGTAGGCTACGGAAGACAACTGAACAATACCAGTACCGAGTGATTACATTAACCTGCAGCAGTAACAAACTGAATAGTCTTTCTTTTAAGATATTTGGCAATCCGTTGGTACCTGCTACATTTGCTTTCTCCTGGTGTTGAAAGACTTTAACTCGCGGTGCTCAAATTTTCGGCAGAATTAAATAACGGATAAGTAAAGCGAAATAACGGACATGGTTTTGGTGAAATGTGTGGTTATTCATACTGTCTTTTGAGGAGGGTGTCCAACACAGAGCTGTAGTTTCTCTTCAAGAGGCAAGGAATGCAATCTGAGCATCAATGTTTCACTGGGGCAAGTGGAAGAAGAGGATGGGAGCCAATAGTTCTTCAAAGAGACCAGTTTTCGATGAAAAGGAAGATGGTAAGTGATGGAAAAGTAAACGCGGGTTTCCCAAGAACCTACCTAGAATTAAAACACATGTAGGACTTGTAGCTAACAGTTAGTCTCCCTGTTCATATCAGTGTGTAATTTACAGTGTTCTTTTTTTACTGCATCTTTCAAGTTAGCACTAGCATGTGACACCAAAGCTACCAAAGTTGTGAAAGTTGCTACTTCAACAGAGAAGCACTTGCTGTTTAGGCTGTTGTAGTTTATCCTAAATGAATAAGTATGTTCCCTATATTCAACAAAGGTGGTTTTTGAAAGTCTTGGAAATGTTGTGGGCGTGAAGTCCAACTTCAGACTAACAGACGCCTGTACTGTCTGTCAGTTTTATTTTCCACAGGCGATAATAAAAAAGTCAAGCATCCTCAAAAATAGTATTTTCATCACACTCACGAACGCCTAATTAACGAACACTGACAGAATATAAAGTTCCTGCTGCAAATTAGCTCATGTGCAGGTAAAGTAAAGATCATTCTCACAAGGGAAAATGTGTAGCACTACCACTCTGTCACTGTAAAAAAAAAAACCTGAGAAAATACATTAATGCCTGAATGAACCCTTTGAAATAGGGACTATTTGAAGACAGAGAGCTAATTGCATAATTAAGGCAAGATTAGTGTCATGCATGGAAGTAACGTTAATTCATGATATGTTGTCAGTGTATGGGAAATAAGCCTCTTGGGAGTGAAACCCATAAGCTTAGTATTGAATCACAGAATCTGTGTGATAGACTTCTGCAGAAATCCACTGTTGCTACAGAGCTGTCATCAGTGTGCTGGCCAAGTTACAGGCGAAACTTGAGTAAATGAGGTCATTTCTCTGCAGGGATATGATCATATGGCTTCTCTCTGTGTGTGTGTGTGTGTGTGTGTGTGTGTGTATGTGTATGTGTGTGTGTTTGTGTGTGTGTGTTTGTGTTTTGTATTGCATACAAGGATAACCCAATTAAGCTCACAGCTTTTTGTCAGTAGCCTTCAAGAAAAGTGTCCAGCATTAATTGAGAGGAGCGGTTATTGAAAAGAACAGGAGAGGTCCTACAGCCCTAAGTGGTATGCCCTCACCCTTTCATTGAGCAGGTGATCAAAGTCCAAATTCATGTACTGAGGCTTAGGGAAATGATCTTGGCCATAGTGTGAGTTACTTCATCAGCATCATCATGGTCATGATAGTTACATTTTGTCAAAACCACTATTATGATGCGTAGACTGAGGTTAGATTTGTTCTTTGGTGCCAAGGTGCATTTGATGTCATTACGTGTAATCTGGAGCGCGTCCCTTTTATGCATCAATGAAATGATCTTCTGCTGACCACGTAGTGAACAGTATGTGCTGGGCGCATATGCCTTAAAAAGAAACAACTGTTATTGTCAATCCGATCACCTTGAACACTTGTGAAGCACCGATTCTACACAGCCTTTGTAAACCAGCTGCTTCTCTTTCACCTTGCTCATCTTTCAAAGAGTTGCCTAGCACTGATAATAGTCTGAGCAAACCACGGTGCACTGCGCTTGGATGCTGACTTAGACTATAGATGTCTCTTGCAGCCTATCAGGTCTCTTAGAAACAGTATCTCTTGGCTTCTTGGAAAACAGCATATGGCCTACATTAGGCAGTAATATTAGAGCAGCGTTTGGCTCAAAAGGCTGCAAACATAATCAAGTGGTCAGGTTGATGTCCAAGCGTAGCTGCCAAAAGGGCTTTTTTGGCAGATAGTTTGATTAGCAAAGGAAGGCTGTGGAATTGATTGAGGTGCACATCCTGATCATCGCTGCATTGCTTTTCTCACTGAAACTCACTGAAATAACAGCAGTCAGGGTGAGAGATGAATAAAAGTCACTGGTAGATAAATGGTGGTGAAGATGTAGTCTCTTTTTTCTCTTTGGCTACTAAATTAGTAAATGTTAAATTTCAGAAACTACCACATCCTGTACAAGTGGTATCCAAGCTTTTTGGCTTGTGTACCTTCAAAGAAATAGTTTGAAATTTGGTTATAAATTTGCTTTCTTGCCAAGCATTAGCTGAGAATATTGATACTATTCTCATATATATCTGGTATATTTGAAGCTACCAGCATCCAGTTAGCTTAATTTAGTTGAAAGACAGAGCTCCGTTCTTGTTCTGTCCAATGGTAACAGCATCTCCTTAACAGCAGGAAAGCTCTCACAACCAAAGGTTGGTTTTATGGTTAACAGAGAAATGGTCAGGCACACAACGCCCCATAAAAATCGCCTTATGTTGTTTTTACCCATTGTTTTTGTATGGATCAAACAAACACAATTTAACATGAAAATAAGTAAGCTTTAGGGGTGCTGGCAGGCAGAGTGTGTTATCTGTGGATGGAGCGGACTGTATCCCTCTGTTCCCAGTCTTTCTGCTAATTTAAGGTAACTAATTGCTGGAGATAGCTTCATATTTACTGCAAAAACATCTACTTCTTGGCAACAAAATGAATGTAAAATGTTGGACTGTTGCTTTAAAAGGAAGCAGTTTGGATCCCTTTGTCACTGGATGAGCTAAAACAAAGACTTAAAAGTGAAAATTCTCCTCTCAGATTGTTTAATTTGATAATTTTTTAGATGCCTGAAGTCACTTTATTTTTTTTCATAAGCAGCAAGCCCATAACACTTTGCTTTTGTAACCTCATGTGGGTATTCATCAATATTTTTCTCTAATTTTATGAACAAAATAATGACTCCTTTCGGTGGAAAAAAATATAAATTAATTAGCCAATAAAGAAAACAATCACCAATTGCAGCCGCACTGTAACTGAGTAAAATTACTCCACAAGTTGTTAACACAGTATGACGTGAATGACTGAGTGTAGACATTGTTTAGTTTAACTATTGGCCATGCTCCAGACAAAGGAGCACTTCACTCTGTCCAAGTCCTCATCTAAACTAAGAACAGCACTGGCTTGTTGCTTTTTGAAAGAGGGTACTTGTTGTGAATGTGCTACAGTATTCAGGAGAGAGTGCAGAAATTGACAAATGCCTGCTTTAATCCAGTATGGGTGTGGACTTGGCGCACTTGTTATTTTTGCTCCAAAGGATTTAGAAAGTATGCAAAAATGTGTGCGTGATTGTGCATGCAGAAGATGCTGTTAATTGTTTTGTCTGTTTATTGTGTTGTTATATTGTTGAATCCATTTGATCTTCCTTGTTAAGCCAAAGGCAAATTTCCACTTCTGTGGACAATAAACTTCTGTTCTTTGTGTAGGCGCATGTGTGTGTGTGTGCCTGAATGTCTGAGCATGTGCGTGACTACTCTTCCCGTCAAGGATAAGTATATGAGGCAATGAAAGCAGATTTGGTTGAGGATAAAGATAGATGCAGAGTGAGATGGCTGATTACTTGCACTGAGTACTGAGGCGCTCACTTTCTTTCATCTCTGTTACAGACTCTCTATTTCTCCCACTCTCTTTATTCAACTCAACTTCATGGCTGCCTGCAGCTACTGGCCACTTGCCACAGCAGAGGTCCACTGTAATTGGCCTTAGCAGTAACGCAATAGGTAGGGAATACTGCCGTGGTCATATTGCGGTATCATCTGATCGCAGAGTGTGGCCACAGTTCAGACTGTTGAGTATTTCCATTGTAGAAACTTCACATTTGTAATATGAGAGTTACATTTAATCTACCAAAGTGTCATCAATTTCAGAAATAAATATGTAATAATCACGTAAAACAGGAAAGGCTAAAATTTCTGACAAATGTTTTCCATGGTCACAGCTGAAAATTAGCAGTTCAATCTGTTGAAATTAGGTGGATACTGATGATCTTATTGTGGACAATCTTACTTTGGCATGTGATCTACTTTTCAGATGAATTGCACAGATCGAGTCGATAAAAAGTTTCTATATTTAGATATTTAATTTTAAAAGTTCAGTCGCTGCTAACCAGCCCATTGTTAACTGTTAAACCTCTAGCCCACTAACTGCAGCTGGAGACGGCAGTCCTTGTTCTACTCTGCAGCCTCGGTGAGCTTGGTGTCTCGTGTGTACCGTTATGTTCATTCCACCAAGAGAAAAATACTTACTTATAGCACCTCATAGATAAATAACAGTGATGTCCAAACGAATACATATGAACTAAAAAACAACGTGTGATTGAGTTGAAGTGACATGCTTTGTATCAGGGCAACCATATGCACAACTAGTCATGTGATCACGAGTTCAATTAAATCTGTGGGGAGACCTGGGATTCAGATCGGAGATCGTTATTCTACCTAAAAAATTGTGATATGATCGTTCGGCCAGATCGCCCACCCCAAGTTAAAATTCTGAAAAACCTGAAAGTGCCAGATATGATATAATCACTGAGTCCTGAGTAAAGCTGAGGTATTGGTTGAAAATGTGAGTGCTCTTACCAATCAAAATTGAAAAGGACTGAGGAGCACTCACAGGTTCATGTGAAGCTGAAGTCCAGGCGCTGAAAGAGGTTGAAATGTCAGTTGAAGTATTGTCGATGAATTGAGCTGGAAGTGGCAATTAAATTGGAAAAACTGTAAAAACTAAAATTCCAGTAAGTTTAAGTACTGAAAGAACTGAAAGAAATGTTCTTTTCAAAGTTGAAGATCTGAGACTTGTAGAAGAAGAATTTAAACAGAGAAAACAACGGCTCGGTAAGAGTAGCAAAATGGGGCCAGGAGTTCAATGCCATTTGGCTGTCTTTGCATATTTTTTAAAGAAGAATCATATAAATGAGGATAAAGCAGGATCTCCTCCCACAATCTCTCTTTAAAACAAGAATCCATTTTGTTATCTGAAGCATGCGCAGTCGGCACACTTCAGTCTATTTGTCAGTAATATTCCAGTATCATTATGACATTTAAAATTGGTGTTGTATTTAAATTTAACAGCATAGTTGGCCACTTAATGGTAGTAATGACAAACTGCTGGCAGGTCACATCTGACAGTGTTTTTACATCTGACTGACTGCATCCACTGCCACTGTTGACAGCGTAGGCCTTTTCACAGCA